ACATTCCTCAACAAGTCGTGGTGCCTTGGGATATTTCCTACCCTATGAATATATCTAACAGGACATTTCAGACAATATGTAGTCCACAGCATATCCATTATTCACAGCATATTATTGGTTAACTATCAGCCTGCCATCAGGGGAAAACTAACTGAGAAATTTATCTCCACATGAGACTTAACTCATTATCACCCACACAGGAAACCTCTCATTCAGGTGCAGGAGTGTTTAACTTGAGGTTGGCTCATCCCAAACCAGCTCGACGGGGAATGCCTTCTTGGAGCAGTGAGGACAACGGCTAACCCACCACTGCTGCTTGTCCTCCAATACCCCACAAAGACCCGTTTAGTTTTCTAAACTAAGTGACGGGGGAAAGCATCTTAGAGTGCCCTTGCAAAAAAGGACAAGCCCTGATCGTAAATGGCCTCCAGACATGGTACAGAAAGAGCGAGGACATGATGAAACAGATAGGACTTTGCTTTGGGAGGCACAACAGAATTTGGCTACATCATTTGTGAACTCCACCAGAATAACCCTTCAGCCAACACACATCTCTAGCTGAGATGTCTAAAATCCCTTTTAGTGCCTAACTTGTATCACTCCGCTTAAAAATGTGACCCCCCCAGACAGGCTGAAGCTTATGTTGCTTTTTCTTAAACATACGAGCAGTTTCAGACTACTTATTGCGGGCTGCAGAGAGTGCAGACACCTCACAAAATCCCAGAGATTTCAACAGGACTTTGCATAATGAAGGCTTACGCTGCAAATCTCTTTCAGATCAACAGCAGGGTTATAGAGGAGACGGGCACAGCATCGGTGGACAGACAGTCCTTTTCTGTGGGGGGAAACCCTGCGCTGAAAACTGCAGCCTCACGCAGGCAAATTCCCAGCAAAAGCATTGCGTAAAGCACTCGTGACATGAGTGGAAGGACGTTAGAGGTTCGGCTAAATCGCATTAAGTCTTAAAGTAGCCACATGAAAAAACTAAGCAAAAGGAAACCTCTTTAAGAGGAGACTTATGCTGAAAAACTGGAATCCCTCTCACCTCACTAACTGCCTAGAAGTTGGGTGTTTCCTTTAAGCTGGTTATATGTGCTCCTTTCCATTCAGTGCAGAGGAACAGGCACCTCTGCAGGGTGAAGTGGGTTAAGGACGGTTTATTCTGCAAGAAGTGAGGTGGATTATCTGCTAGGAGTGATTACGAAATGAAGATCTGGGTTGCTGGGCTTTTTTTGTTGTCGTTAATATTACGTTTCCCCCCACAAATACACCATGTTATTTAAATCAGGGGAGTCCTCTGGCCAGTGCTGTCCAGGAATCTGAGAGACATGGCCGCCATTTCATCCCATCCTCTCCTAAATCTCGGAGACAGTTAAGGTGAGCGAGGGACAGGGCTGCGTCCTCTTCAGAGTCCCACCACCTTCTCTTGCCTAACCCTAAGGATTAGGTCTAAACGCATCACCTAGGTTCTGTCTAGATTCCCTGGAGAAAGGCACTGCTGGAGGGCGAGCATCTCACCTCACCTCCTTCAGCTGCTTTGGACACGGGCTGATCCATGTTTTGGAGGCATCCTACCTCCCCCACCTTCCATTGATTCTGTTTTGGACCCACATAGCTGTGGTTGTAGCAGATGAATCGCTCGCAAAGGACCTGCATACCAACACCAGCTTCTGCCACATGCATGTTCAGGAGCTGATGTCGACCCATTTGTCCCAGCACAAAGTACTCCAGCTCAGGCTCTCAGCGTGCACTTTCCAGGTCATATCTGCTCACCCGACGGAGTACACCGAGTTCTTACTTCTTTTCTCCCTGTGCTATTTTCTGTTCTTCCCGAGTCATCGGGTGCTGGCAGCTAATCTGGGATCTGGTCTGTCTTGTGCTAGGGATATGATGAAGGAACGAAACCAGACCATCATGAAATCTCAGGGGGGGTTGTACCAAGCTTTACTGAAGCTTAGATTTGACCTCAAATTCCAGCTCCAGCACTTCTGCTGCTGGTGGTGTCAGACCATGCTAACTCTTGGGTGAGCAGGGGCTCCTTGGTGAAACTGGTCCATTCTTTGAGCACTGAAGGAGCAATAAACACAGGTTCCACCCAACCCTTTCAAACAGGTACCCCTCAGGGTAAAATGGTTCTTGCAAGGCATGGTAAGGCTTTTCTTTCTTCTGCCCACCCAATAGATAGAGAAACCAGGAAATTAAATGTTAGCCTGATCGCATCCCCTTCTACTAGTCCTCGCAGTGCTCCCCTACTCACTGCAACCACAATAGGCAAGATCAGCCCTTTCTGTCACCATGCTCCTAAACATCTCTGGAGGAGACGCTCTGGGTCTGAGTAAAGACCTCCAGTGTATTCATTCTTCTTACCTCAACAGCTACCCTAATATGGGAACTAGAAGAAAAAAGCAAAATTTCCGGATAGCCCTTCTACAGCTCCTTAAATAGGAGAAGGGGACATTAGCTGACCCATTTGGAGAAGACTGGAGCCTGGCTTGGCTTCCTGCACTGGGCTTGGCGTTGCAGTCTTAAGAGCAGGGAGGACTGAGGCTTGGAGGAGGGATGTATGCCATATAAAATGGTAAATTGACCTTGTTGTAGCACTAAATGAATCCATAAGAGACTGTGTGAACCATATGGAAATAGCCGGAGTCTGGACATACTAGCACGGGCTGTACTTGGGTTTATAAGCCCTGCTGTGGGCTGTTTTGCCAGCATGCATCCCTGAGTGACGCAGCTGATACTGTCGCTGTTCAGAGGCAGAACTGGCCTCTTCCTGTACCGTGTAACGAGCCACGCTCACACAGACACGATGAGCCAGGAGAGACTTGATTTGATTTTTAAACACACTGTCTTCCTAACAATATCTATCTTCCTTTGGTTTCTGCCTGCTTTAAGGGAAATCTTTGATGCTCCCTTTCATAACGGCTCCTCTCTGCGTTTAATTTCCTTTTACATAATTATGTACTGGCCGGGAGGAGGAGGAAGACAGAAGCACTGAACGGGCATGGAGGAGCTCTAGGAAGCCTTGCACCTGAGTCAGGAGCACTGAGCAAGCTCTGCTGCTCGTATCCATCAGCAGCGCCCGCCGCTCAGCACGCAGCCCCGAGATGTGCGACCGCATCTCTGGCACAGGGAGGGGGGGAGGGAGGGAAAAGGTGCACTGGGGACCCTGAGAGCTTGGCTGCTGGAGCGTGGCAGGCTAAGAGCCCTCCAGGGCTCCGGGAGGCAGGCGGGGACGTGCATTGCCTTGGAAGAGAGCGCAGCTTGCTTGGTGTGGTGGAGGAACGGAGGAACTGCATAGCTGAAGAAAAGGGGGGGGGGGGGGGGGGGATGGAGGGGGAGGGCGGCGCCCAGCCACACCTGGCAGCCCTCGCTCCTTTCGTGTGGCAA